CAAATGCTTACAACTGACCAATACAAAGAAAATCGACCCAATTTTTAAATTTGCCAAGGATTTAAATAGATACACAATTGGCCAATAAGCATACGAAAAGATGCTCAGCATCACTAGCCAAATCAAAATCAAAATGAGATCTCACTTTACACCCACTAGGATGGTTATAATCAAAACATGGACAATAACAAGTGTCTGTCAGAAGGCAGAGAAATTGGAACCCTCAATATGCAGCCATTGAAAAGTGGCAATTGTGCAGCTTCTTTGGAAATGCCTCATGTTTCCTCAAAAGGTTAGAGATATCATATGGCTCAGCAATTCTTCTCGTACATATAGTGTCATCCCTCAGTATCCTCAGGGGGTTGGTTTCAGAAATCCCCACACTGGATTCCATAATCTAAGGATCTTCGAGTCACTTTACAATCAGCCATCTGGATCCATGAAGTGGAAACTACAGATATGGCGGGCCAACTGTATAGCCAACAGAATGAAAACATATTCTTACAAAAATTTGCACATCAATATTCATAGCAGTATCACTTAGAGTAGCCAAAGGTTACAAACAATATCCATCCATCAATGAATGGATAAACAAAATTATCAAGAATAGTCCCACAAACTTTTGGTCATTGAATCTTTGACAAAGGAGGTGAGAACATACAATGGAGTAAAGACAGCCTCTTCAGCAAATGGTGTAGGGAAAACTGCACAGTGGCATGTAAATCAATGAAGTTAGACTACTCCCTCACAGCATACACAAAAGTAAATTCAAAATGGCTTAAAAACTTAAACATGTAGACAAGACACTATAAACCTCTTAGAAGAAAACAAAGGCAAAACATCTGACATACATCTCAGCAATGTTCTCCTAAGCAGTCTACTCAAGCAATAGAAATACAAGCAAAAATATACAAGTGGGATCTAATGAAACTTACAAACTTTTGCACAGCAAAGGAAACAATAAGAAAAACAAAAAGACAACTTATGGAATAGGAGAAAATATTTGCAATAAATGAGACCGACAAGGGCTTAATTCCCAGAATATATAAATAGCTTTTACACTTGATAAGAAAGAAAAACAAACAATTCAACCCAAAAATGGGCAGAAGACCTAAAGAAACATTTCTCTAATGAAAACCTACAAATGGCCAATAGGCACATGAAAGAATGCTCAATATCATTATCAGAGAAATGCAAATCAAAACTAAAATCAAGTATCAATTCACACCATTCAGAATACCCATCATTCAGAAGTTCACAAACAATAAATGCTGAAGAGGCTGTGGAGAAAATGGAACCCTCCTACACTGTGCTGGGAATGCAGTTTTGTGCAGCCATTGTGGAAAACAGTATGGAGATTCCCCAAAAGACAAAAATTTGACTTCCCATATGACCCAGCAATCCCACTCCTGGGCATATATCCAGCGGGAACCCTAATTCAAAAAGACACCTGCACCTCAATGTTCACAGCAGCACTATTTACAATAGCAAGACATGGAAACAACCTAAATGTCCACTGACAGATGACTGGATAAAGAGGTTGTAGTATATTTATACCATAGACTACTACTGAGCCATAAAAATTAATAAAATAATGCCATTTGCAGCAACATGAATGGATCTGGAGAATGTCATTCTAAGAGAAGTAAGCCAGAAAGAGAAAGAAAAATACCATATTTGATCACTCATATGTGGAATCTAAAACAAAACAAAATAAAACAAATCAAAACAAAACAAAACAAAAAAAGACAAACATCTACAGAACAGAAACAGGCACAGAGACATAGAAAGCAAACTATGGTTACAAGAGGGGAGAGGGTGTGGGAATGGATAAATTGGGAGTTCAAGATTTGCAGATACTGACTATGTATAGAATAAACAGCAAGTTTATACTGTATAGTACAGGGAAATATATTTAATATCTTATAGTAACATGTTGAAAAAGAGTATGAAAATGAATACAGGTATGTTCCTATATAACTGAAGTGTTCTGCTGTAAACAAGAAACTGACACAGCATTATAAACTGACTAGACTTCAATGAAAATATTTTAAAATAGACCAAAAACAAAAAAAAGGAAAAAGATATTATTAAAGCAAAAGGATAAATTACTGTTTCAGGCTACAACATGGATGAACCTTGAAACAGTAAGCTAAAATAAGCCAGACACAAAAGGACAAATACTGCCCTTTTAGGTGAAGTGTATCTAAGTGTTCATTGTACTACTCCTGTAAATTTTCTGGAAGTTTGAAGTCTACCAAAATAAAAATAAAGTGTATTATTCAGTAAAAGCATAAAATAATTCCTCTCAGGTGGGCTTTAAATAATAAATGAAGAAATGCATGTAAAGCTCCTGGAATAACACTTTGCATGTCCACAGTCACTACTGTCACTGCCACTCAGAGGGCGGTGCCAGCACTGATGAGAGCTGCCTCCACTCATTCCCCTGCAGTCAGGAGTGAGGGCCTGGGCTCTGACAGGCTGGGTGACTGAGAACCTGGGTCAGACACAGCCATGCCCCAGACTCTGAGTTACCCAACTTTCTTATACAAACTGCTACATGTAACATAAACACGCTACAGGGATGTATCTTACAACGCAGGAAATACAGCCAATGTTTTACAATATCTATAAATGGAGCATCTATTGTACACCTGAAATTTATATCATATTGTAAATCAGCTATACCTTTATAAAAATTTAAAGAATAATTTAAAAATGTTATCACTTTAATATTCAATTTAGTTTTTAAGTAACTATTAAACAACTTAGAGTGTATAAAAGCATTTAAGTGTGATAAAGTTGTTTACACATATATTTAATTTCAGCTTCCTGCTAAAAGAGAAATTAAACAATTTTTTAAACACAGCTTAACAAACATAACAACAAAAAGACAAAAGTGAGAATGAAGAGAAAATGGAGATTCAAAACTTAAATGAAACCAGGGGGAGATAAAGTCATAAAAATGGATGCCATGAAGTCAGGGTAAGTGTTAAAGGCCGACTAGAAATTCAGCTGAAAGATTCTTGGCAGCTAAAGCAAAAAAAAAAAAAGATGATGGGGTGGGTGGTAGAGCATTTGCTTAGCGTGCACGGGGTCCTGGGTTCAAGCCCCAGGACCTCCAATAACAGATAAATACACCTAATTACCGACCCACTCAAAAGAGCCCCAAAGAAAAGAAAAAGAGAAATTTCTTTCCAAAAAAATCCTGATATTAAATTTGGATTAAATACTTAAAAAAAAAGAAAAATAGAAAATGATGAGTGACACTGTGAAGGAAAAGCCCAGCTGGGCTACCAAGGTAAGTCACAAATCTAAGTGTCATAAGTGTCAGTTTACTGATCTATGTTCTGCTGGGCTAACTCTTAAATCTGAAGTTTAGTGTCAGTTTACTGGGCTAACAAGCTAACTCGTAAATCCAAGCTCAACAAGTGTCAGTAACATGATCTGTCCCAAATTGATAAGCTCCAGTGTACTGATTCCTTGCTTTTTGTTGTTTGAGCCTTATTGGCTAATAGCCCCATACTTGTAATTAACCCTATAAAACCTCATGTGCACGTCTTGGAGATGCTCAGAGCTTTGGAGCAGAAGACCCCCTGAGCCCGCTGGAGTAATAAATCTGAGTACTCCAACCTTCTGAGATGTGCTTGTTTCTTGGCTGGCCTGTTGTTTCCGTAACAATACAAGCGATAATGCCCGTGAGATAAATCTGTGGTGGCTGCTGGCAGGTCCCCAGGTCTCACGTGGGAAAATCTGAAACATTCTTCTCACCACTCAGAGACATCCTCAGCCCAGACCACACCTCCTGCTGTTAAATGCAGGAGCACAGGCGGGGCCGGCCTTTGCTCTCTCTGTGTCATTTCAGTGAGACAGGATGGAAGGGGGCAGAGCACAGCCATTCAAGGAAGGCCACAGCAATTAACATCAAAATGGTGAAGGATTCAACCCCCAAAAGGCCTTGAGGGTCAGGATGAAGAGATTTAACTTCTAACAGAACTTGAGCTTCATTATACACCCATTGAAATAGTAACATGGTGAATAACATGCCCCCAGGCACCATGGCAGTCCCAAGGCTAGCCACAAAAGATAAAAGTGTGGGAAATGACCAACTCCCTGGGAATCCCAGCCCCTTCCCCTTAGGCTGGTCCTTCTACTTATTAGCATATGAAACCACCAAGCCCAAGAAAACAGAGCAACACAGAACCACCTCTTGGTCACCACTCTCTCTCCCTCTTCGGAGAAGGCCCACACTCTGTCAGTGGAGTGTGTACCTACTTTTAATCTGAGCATCAAACCGCCAAGCCTCATGACATTTCTCTTGCTTTTCAATGTATCTCTCTGAATAAATCTACCTTTACTCAACACTGGCTTGCTCTTGAATTCTTTAGTGCACCAAGTCAAGGAACAAAATCTGATGGGGCACATCCCAGGGGCTCAACCAAAGCCTGGGACACAGCCCTTCTCATACCCCATGTATTTTTTCTTGTATCAACAGGACTGGGTTGTGAAGGGAGCTCTGAGGCCCCAGCTAAGGGACAGTAGCAGCCCCCAGTGCTCAAAATGATGGGCATCCCCTCCCCCAGCAGGGGCCCTGGGGTCCACCTGGCTGTCTGTTGTTCTCTGTTGTGCTGACTCCCCAGCCAGAGAGAGTTCCCCCTAGGCCTGTCCCCACAAAACCCTTCTCTCCAAAATACAAACACATCATGTCACAATCCTCTTGTTCAACCAGGAAATGATCAGCCCACTTTTTCCTTCTCCAGTAAGGAACCTAACTGTCCTACCTCCCATCCCACCACTTTTTTCTTTGTGAGAACTCTGCACTCTCCACACACCATCATGAACGCAGGTGCCTTGCTGGCTGGGACTGAGATGTTTCAGTCTTACACAGCCTGCGTCCATTCACTTTCCTCTTTCTACCTTAAAAAAGCCTTTCCTGGGTCTCCCACCCCTCTGATTCTGAACTTCACAAAATGCTGAGGTTACAGTCACTGTGTGCATACCTCCCAGGTTTTGGCTAGGTTTCCTTCCCAAGATCTTCATTAAGGAGCTGCATCAAGAAGTTTAAAGAGGTTATTCTTACATCTGAGCAGAGGAGCCTGCATAAAATTTAAATGGCTTTGAAGAGAGAGTTAACCAGGGACAGACAGGTCACAGGTCCTAGTCAACAGGGTCATGAGGCAAAATGTTCTTCGAAGGCTCAGAGTGGCTTCTGAACATGAAGTCGGCAGGGAGGAGGTGACAGGCAGTGAGTGGGGTGAGTGACACAGGGTACTCTCCCCCAGCTGGGGAAGAATTGGATTTTTTTCTAGTTTTCCAAACAATTTCTTACTACCTTTTTCTCTTATTGTAACATATCATTTCCTACGAATTAAGAAAATCACTGTCAGTCATTTGGTCCACTTGGGAGAACTACACGATGCCATTCACAGGGCTGGGACATGACAGCCACAGCAGTCTAGGTTGAAAGACCAGTGGGGGTATTTCCAAGATTATCACGGGCATGCAGCAAACGCCCCAGCTTCAATGACCTCATCTCAAAGGTGGGGCCAATTAAACTACCAAGAAAAGTGCATGATGATTATGGCTGACAACTGTTTACTAGGTAATTGCCCGTGACAGCTGCTGCTTAATGGGGAATGAGTATGATCAACGAGGCCCAGTCTACCTGGCAACACGCACCCTGCTTTCCTGCCTTGGTGCAGCAGCAGAGCTTGTTTAGCTGAGATGAACGCCCCCAGAGCAGCCCCGATGGGATGCTCCCAGCTCTGCACGGTGAGGCGTGTTCCTTTCCTTCTCAGAGCTGATCACACTTTTCTGTCGTCTGTTTTTATGTTTATTTCTTCTGTAATTGCCTCTTCTCCGGAGTTTTTGCTCAGGCAGCACAGGGCCAGGTGTGTCTTGTGGCCTGCCGGATATTCTCGGCTGGGAAACAACCGACCCCACATCTGGCTCTGGTGCTGAATGGAGTGGGCAGAAGGCCCAGGGGCCCATGCTGAGCCAAGGCCCCTGCACACAAAATTATGGTCTGACTTTGGGCAAATTACACAGTCTTCTTTACTCTGAGATTCGTCATCTGTCCATGAAAATAACTGCCCATGGCACACAGATTTACCAAGATTAAAGGAAATCACCAAATTCACAACCTAGCCAAGGGGCTACCAGTGCATCCTCAACAGACAAATGCTGCTTTTACGGCTCTGACACATGCCAATTGTGGCGGCGCACACAGTGAACACTGCTAAGTGCCAGTGTGTTAAGTGCTTCATGTGTGCTATAATACTCTTTAGAACTTACAACAGTCCCAGGAATAATCAAATATTATCATGCCCATTTCACAGATTCACCAACAGGTTAAGAGAGGTTACATTCTAGTCCAAGGCCCTATGGTGAGGAAATGGTGATTTAAACCTGAATCTGGGCCCAGACCTTGGCTCCATCTCTCTCCCATCCACCTGACAACTTGCCTATGAATTCCACCTGTCCAATACACAAGTTTGCAGCTGGCCAGCTCTTAAATGCAATGTGTTCCACCGTTTGTCAATGTTGGTTAATTACCATAAACTGTTCTCAGAAAACACTACAGTAATGAAAGGTGGACTTAAGGAATTCTGCCTTGCATTCTCCTGTAATATGCAGAAACCCTTCCCTACACCACCAAACCCAAATGTATGCTTCCTCCATGTTTATGTTTGCCCACGACTTATTAAATTAGAAGGTACCTGTAGTAATTCCATCTTGGTTGCTTTCCAAGTTTGCAGATTATCCATAATCAGTCTGTGAACGAATATACTTCAATGTGAATGAAAATACTGCAACCATGTCAGTAAACAAAGAATGCTGAAACCAAGTCATCAGCGGCTGCCACCACCACCCAGCAAGTACAGACCTGAAGCCCAGCCTCTGCAGCAATTCACAATGTTGCCCTCTGAGCAGACTCAGAATTAGAAAGGACAGGATACTGACCCTAGATAGCTAGG